TGAGCCAGGACTGATAAAGATATTTCCTTTGAAGTTCTGTCTGACTGTCGTGTGTGAACGAGCGAAGAGGGAGGGGGGTCAGAACAGGTACCGTATTTTTCGGTGTTTAAGATGCACTTTTTACCCCCCTAAAAGAGGGTGAAAATTTGAGTGCGTCTTATACACCGAATGTGGCCCTGCCCACCCACTGTCCCCCATGCTTTGGCTTCTGCCTCCTTGCAGCAAACAGCCTGTTTCAGCTTCAGCACAGCCTGATTAGCACAAACAGCTGATTGTTGGTTGGATCGGCCTCCCAACCATCAGCTGTTTCAGGCTGCAGGGATTGCCATTACCTATTGCCGCCTACACGCGCCCCATTTCCGGCTTCAACATCCCACTTTTGGCCTCTGCATGTCCTGTTTTCGACCTCCGCACGCCCCATTTCCCACCCATTCCAATCCCTGCTGCCCGGAATAAGTGGAAAATGTGGCGCACAGAGGCTGAAAATGGGTCGCGATAGGCTATGGCAATCCCTGCAGCCTGAAACAGTTGGTCGTCAGGAGGCCTGACAATCAGCTGCTTGTGCTAAATCAGGCTGTGCTGAAACTGAAACTGGCTGTTTGCTACAAGGAGGCAAATTGCTGGGAGGCAGAAGCAGATTTTTTTTCTTGTTTTCCTCCCCAAAAGCTAGGTGCGCTTATACTTCGGAGCATCTAATCTGAAAAATACGGTACTGAATTATTTTTCCAATAGGAACTGACAGGTTGAGGAGGGAGGGAGGGAGGTTGAGCAGTAACTCAGCTTTCCAGATACTTAACTCAAGCATTTAGCTTGATCTCGGAAGGATGGAAGGCTGAGTGAACGTTGAGCTGGTCAGAATCGAACTGCTGGCAGTTGGCAGAATTAGCCTGCAATGCTACATTCTAACCACTGCGCCACCACGACTCTTTTAAAGTGTGGAAAAACAGTCATAAATCCCTTTTTTCCCAGTGCCGTTTTAATTTTGCTCACTACGTGAATGGTGGTAAAGTCAAGAACCACTTGTATTGCCCAAGTTATTAAATGGTGATGAAACGTATCTCTTCCCTGGGTAAAAAGTTCTTAAGCTTGATGAGAGACTGTGAAGTTGATATCACTGCTTGGGGTCCCCTGCCGTGAGAGAGATCTGGAGCAGCGAATAAGTAGATTGATCTACACCCTTAGAAGCAAAGAGAGAAAAAACCCCGCTGAGCTTAAATTAGACTGCACAGAACCTCTTACAGCTCTCAGTTAACATTGAGCCCTTTGCTATTATGGTTAGCTTCTTGGGAGAAATTTCACAGCCTTTATGGCATCTCACTCTGTCTAGTTCAGGGGTCCACAAACTCCGGTCTATGGACCCGCACAAAAACATGTTCCATGGCTTCCCTACTTTATAAAACCACTATAATGCCTTGGTATGGCCACACTTGGAATACCGCATCCAGGTTTGGTTGTCACGATGTGAAAAGGATGCTGAGACTCTGGAAAGAGTGCAGAGAAGAGCAACAAAGATGATGAGGGGACTGGAGGCTAAAACGTATGAAGAACGGTTGCAGGAACTGGGTATGTCTAGTTTAATGAAAAGAAGGACCAGGGGAGACATGATAGCAGTGTTCCAATATCTCAGGGGCTGNGCACTTGGATAAGTGATTTGTTTTCAGTTTCGAGATTCAAAGAGGCACTTGGATAAGTGATTTGCTTTCTGTAAACCTGGTTTGCTGTAAGAGCTGTTAGTGTTTGCTTTTGCTGTGTAACTTTTTGCCAGAGACTTTATCTACGTTTATTTTTGGGCTTGCAGCCAGCTTGAGCCAGGACTGATAAAGATATTTCCTTTGAAGTTCTGTCTGACTGTCGTTTGTGAGCGAGCAAAGAGAGGAGTCAGAACAAGAAAGTATCTGCAAGAGGAAGGCAATAGGTTATTTTGATCCACTTCAATCAGGTTTTCAGCTCAATTCATAGCATTCATGTTATATACGATCTATTGTTGGATTTGTGGCAGAGTAGAACTTTTATCCAGTTCCTATTCAATATTTATATGAAATTGCTGGGTGATATCATCCAGGGGCATAGGGACAGGTTTCATCAGCATGCTGATAATACCCAATTATGCATTTCAATTTTTGGTCAAATGGATCATGCAGTGGAAGTTGAGATGTCCAAAGACTGCCTGGGTTTACATAGAGAGAATGCCAGTGTACCAGTAAGGCAGAGGAACTTTGGATTCAGAGATCTACAGAAACTAATGAACAGAATTGTATTTTCCTGGCAGTGCTAGTTCACAATTTGAGGAGCTTTTTGGAGTCACAGCTCCTGCTCAAGAAGCAGAGAACTGTCACCATGAGGATTTACAGTTCCATCTTGTGTACCATCTGTAATCATTCCTGAGAGGTGTGGTATTATTGTCACTCACACTTTAGTTACTTCTTGAGTATATTATTGCAATGCATACTACTTTGAGGACTACATTTAAGGAACATTTAGAAGCTACAGATGGTCCAAGACATAGTGGCTTGTATAGTTATAAATACCCTTCAAGGCTCCTACTTAAAAACTCCTCGAGAGCCACTGATTGCCATTTTGTTTCTAGAGGTAATTCAACATACTGATTTTTACTTTCCAAGTCCTTCATAATGGGGGTAACTATAGACCATCTTCTCAGAGCCTACCTAATAAGTTTCTATAAGGTGGCTCACTGTATATTTCCTCAGATATACCTCAGAGATGTAACCTTTAGGGAACATAAAAGATAGAGAAGGTAATCTTTATTTTTACTCTTTCTGTGTGTATACTGGCACACTTTAAAATAAAATTTTGATGCCTGTTTTCAAAAGAATATCTGTGTGGGTGTATAATCCCATACATATACAGACACAAATATATACATATGCTGTGTGTACACAGTGGGTTCCTGCCGTTCGCACCTCTTTGGGTGTACTGGTTCCAGAAATTTGCCGTACTTTTGCATACCCATTCCATGGAGGCGTGGCCACACCCCCATACCGCTCCCCTGCCCTGCAGCCCATTTGAAGGCGCTTCTCAAAGAGAAGGAAGTGAGGGCGGGGCTTCTTCAGAGAACCCAAGGCAAGAGCAACGATGAAGCCCTCTCTGAAGCAGCTGGAAAAGGTAAGTGTGGGTCGGAAGGAGGGGGAGGAATTCAAACTTCCTCCTCCTGGTGCTGTGCGGGGCTTTGGGCAAAGGCTGGAGGGAAGAACCTGGCTCCCTCGTGCTCCCTCCCCAAGTGTAATTTGATTGCAGGCGGAGCCACATTGTCTTTTCAAACCTGTAATCAGTGAAGCTGGGCTGGATTTTTACATAGCGGATCCAAACCTTCCGGGACTGGGGGAAAGTGTGTGTGCTACAGCCTGGCTTCCTGCCTCCTCCTGTGGTCTCCTCAGTGCTCGCTCATGCTCTCCCTCCCCAAGTGTAGTACTTCCTCCCCAGGCCCCCATCCATTTCTCCCATACACACATACAGCTGGATAAAGCTATGTAAAAATCCAGCCCAGCTTCACTAATTACAAGTTTGACAAGGCAACGTTGCTCCGCCTGCAATCAAACTATACTTGGGCAGGGAGAGCACAAGCGAGCACTGAGGAGACAACAGAAGGAGGCAAGAAGCCAGGCAAAGTGCTATGCTGTAGCACACACACTTTCCCCCAGCCCCTTTCTTTCTGAAGGCTCGGATCGGCTCCCCTCCAACTTCTCTGCCTCTCTTCTCACCCCAGCCTGCCAGCAGGAGGTGAGTGGGTGGGCTTTAGTGCATTCCAGGCATTTCTTACCCAGACAGCAGGCTGCATTTGTACTGGGGAAGATGTTTGGGGAAAGGTTATGATTCCTGGTTTTATAGGATTACAATTACAATGGATAATGTTCTTTTAATTTGATTTATATTATTTAGTTTTTAATCTCAATTACATAACCAGGAGCTATGCAATCAACTGACTCGAGCAGCTCTGTAAATAATAATCAATTATTGAAATGCTTTTATCCACAAATACTATAGAACATTGGAGTAGAAAAAAAGAGAAAATTAAGTTTATCTTTAAATATGGCCTGTTTTGCTACTAAGCGTAACAATGCAGATTAATGTCAAGTACTATAATAAAGCATATCAATATAGCTATCTATAGTTATTTACATACATACATACATACATACATACATACATACATACATACATACATACATACAGTATCCAGTTTAGATACATTATGCAAAGACCCATCTCTCTAAAAACCCTCTAATGCTAGGAAGTTTAAAAAAAAACCTAGGAGACAAACCAGCAGCAAAGTGGATGGACTTAAGTTACAGTGGTGTTAAGTACCATATTTTTCGGAATATAAGACGCACCTTTTTTCCTCTAAAAAGAGGCTGAAAATCTGGATGTGTCATACAATGAATACAGCATTTTTTGCCTCCTGAAGCCCTGCCCCTTTATCAAAATGGCCATGCATAGCCTTNCCACTGGGATTTAAGCACCTCCAGGAACATCTCTGGAGTGGGGATCTCCTCCTTCTCCACTGGTGGCCTATGGAAAGGACCCTTCTTGTTACCCCCACTAGAGCTGGGCGTGGTAGTCGCAGCCTGGGATCTGGAGGAATATCCAGGTCTGCTGTGGCCCTGGCCTTGTGGAGTAAGGAGCTAAATAAGGAGGAGGGGGGGAAAGGCCAGCGATATTGGGAGCTTCAGATGCCTGGGCATCCTCATCCTCAGAAAACCCCACCTCCTTCAACTCTCCCTCCTCCAATTCCGAAGCCTCACTGGCAGTGGAGGGAGAGGGAGACCTGGGCCCTCTGGTAGCAGAGGCCCTGGGGCGATCTTGGTGACCCCTGGGCTGGTCCCAGGAAGACCTACTCCTGGAACTCTGGGGCTGCTGATTCATCCCAGAAGCAATCCCCTGGGCTATGGCCCTGGCTAACACCTCCTGGAAGCTTGCTGGAAGCTCAGGCAGGGAAGATTGTAGCTCTGGGGGCTGTAGAGAATCCCTGTGTTCAGGGGATTGAGGTGCCAATAGGTGCCTGGCTGGACTGGGTGCCCTGCGCCCAAAGGGGTCGCTCCTCATCTCAGATGGGTGTGCAGGCGAGAGGGGGAGGGCATAGGGAACTGTGCCCTCTGCCTGAGACCCTAGGGGAATCTGGGGATGCCACCCGGGTCTCTTCCAGGGCCGGAAGCCTGTGGGGGGGGGCGAGATCTGGAAGGGGAAGGGCTGATGGTGACCCTGAACCTTCTAGCGGAGGCCCTGGTGATCTGAACCTCCTTTTCCAAGGTTCCCTTCCTATGGGGCCTGGGGGTGCCTCTCTTGGTGGGGGACCACCCTCTGGTGCCTGGGGGCTCTCTCCTGGAGGTCTCCTCGCCCGGATCCAGGTCCACATGGGCTCTGGGCCTGACACCCCCATTCCTCGCTGCCTCTGCCATTGTACTCACGGTTCCGCCACTCACTGCCTCCCTTCTTCTGGCCAGCCTTGCTTGTAAAGCTTCCTGCCGCCGATCTGCAGCCTGACTGCCGGCGCACCGCTTGGATTGGGCCCTCCCCAGAGAGCCAGCGGAGTTTGGGGCCTTGGAAGCCTCTTCCGGCTTCCACGGTGCTCTTCTGAGCATTCTCGGCGTCTGTAGAGGGAATGCCAGTCACGTGCTCAACCACGTGCTCTGGCAGAGGACCAAGATGGCGGCTGCCGATCTGCGGCCCGATTCCCTGCAGCTTGGGAGCATTGGGGGAAGAATCCGTTGGCTCCCCGTTCCTCCGATGGCCTCCTGGATGTGTGGAGCCTCCAAACGCCCCGTGCGGCCCTTTTTGCCCGCTTACGCGACCATCCGGTCACTGGGGATCGCACTAGCCGGCGGCACGACTGGCTAGCAATGCTGAGCACAGCAAGGAGGGATGAGGCGATCTTCAATATTTCTTCTAAAATCTCTGCAAAAAAACTCTTCAATCCTGTAGGATTCTGAAGGATTAGTAAGAAAAAAGGCTGAAAAATCCTGGAAGAAAATCCTGCAAAAAAAACCCTAGTCATCCTAGGTGAGGGAGAGTCAAGAAAACACTTCTTCTAGGCTGGAGACTGAGGTTAATCTGGGAGGTCAGAAGGAGGATCGGAGGTGTGGCCTCAAGATTTACCTCAGTCTCCAG